AGAGGATTCGTTTTGTAAGAAATCGCCAAAGTGTCTTCCAAAGTGGCTGTACCATTTTGCATTCCCACCAACAATGAATGAGAGTTCCTGTTGCTCTACACCCAGTATTTGGTATTTTCAGAGTTACAGATTTTGGCCATTCTAATAGACATGTAGTAATATCTCATTGTTGTTTTAATTTGCATTTCCCTGATAACATATAATATGGGGCATCTTTTCACATGCTTATTTGCCATCTGTATATGTTTTTTTGGCAAGGTGTCTGTTAATGTCTTTGGTCCATTTTTCAACTGGGCTGTTTGTTTTCGTATTGTTGAGTTTTTAGAGTTCTTTATATATTTTAGATAACAGTCCTTTACTGGATATGTCCTTTGCAAATATTTCCTCCCAGTCTGTGGCCAGTCTTTTCATTCTCTTGACAGTATCATTTGCAGAGCAGAAAATTTTAATTTTAATGAAATCTAGCTTATCAATTCTTTCCTTGATTATGCCATCGGTCTTATATCTAAAAAACCATTGCCAAAAATAAGGTCATCTAGATTTCCTCCTATGTTATCTTCTAGGAGTTTTATACTTTTACATTTTACATTTAGGTCTATGATCCATTTGGAGTTAATTTTTGTGAAGGGTGTAAGATCTATGTCTACATTTATTTATTTATGAATGCATGTGACTGTCCAGTCGTTCCAGCACTATTTGTTAAAAAGGTTATTTTTTTCTCCATTGAATTGCCTTTGCTCCTTTGTCAAAGATCAGTTGACTACATCTGTGTGGGTCTATTTCTGGGCTCTCTGTTCTGTTCCACTGATCTATTTGTTTATTCTTTCACCAACACCATGCTGTCTGTCTTGATTACAGTAGATCCCCCTGTACTTTTCAGTTCCTTAAGGCTCACCTTCTCTTTCTACCACCACATTGTAACTGCCCTATTAGAGACCTTCCAATGGCAAGTCCTGGGGATTCTCTCCAGTGCTCTTCTTGCATTTCTCTTGAGAGCATTTGATGACATTGTGTGAGCTTGTGTGTGTCACATTTGCATTGGGGTTTGTAGGGTTGATGATGAACAGGAAGGTTTGGGGACTCTGGCTTTGAGAAGTGGCCAGGCAGGGACCAGAGGTTGAGGTCAAGTATCATTACTTGCGAGTGCATAGAGCTGCCTTGGGAAAGTTGCACATTTCAGACCCACAGGCCAGTGAGGTTTGACCTTCCGAAGGAATGTTCCGCGATTCTTGCATTATAGGTCTTTGGACATCTGTGGACCTTGATCACTGTGACTGAGCAAGTTCAATGGGAAAGCCCTGCTAAATGTACCAAGCCAGCATTGACCAGCTAGTGGGTATGGAAAGGCTCAGCCACACTGGGCCTGGAAATGCAGAGTGGGGTGGACAGCTACCAGAACCTTCCCTGGGGCCTACCAGGCCCAGCCCTGCTTTAAGTGCTTTGCAGCTATTGATTTGATTTGGCCTCACAACAGGCCTATCCCCATCTCAGAGACAGGACACTCCTACACAGAGAATGCCCTCACTTGCTCAGAGTCACACAGCTGGGCAGTGGCAGTGCTGGGACTTACTCGGGAGCCTGTGCTG